TTTGTGGCTAAAAGAGATTAATGAATATTGCAATTATATGATAGTTGCAATTGGGCTATGGATTCCTAATGGAAAGTGGATTGGACGAAATCTATGGGAAGCCCATATGAATTTCGTCTAAGGGCTTTCTAGAGGGATTTCATGGGTTGCTTAAGGCCTAAGCAGAGAATTAGGGTTTCACCTGAAACCTTAGCAGCCCACACAAGTATAAAAGCACCCCTAAGGCTCCCAAAAACTTGGCTAACACTTCTAAGAGAACCCTAGACGTGTTTAGAGCCTCCTCCTTCTTCTCCTAAGTCATCTTGTTACTCATGGTGTTTGTGACTCTATTAAAGGTGCAACATTTGAGGCACTAAGCTTTCAAGAGTCAAGATCAAGGAGATTTGTGATTGTTATTGATACATAACAATCAAGGTAAGATCTAAACCTTTTTATTATGATAATATCGATTATTATATGCTAGATGTAGGGTTTATGAGCTTTGGATAATTATTGCATGTTCATTAGACAAACTAGATGCAAAGCTTTAGGGTTTCATATACACCATATGATTGATGTTGTGCTTAAAACCCATCAAAAAAGCACAATCCTAATTCACAAATACAAACAAATTGTTCAAATAACATAAAAAATGTTTAGTTTCACAATGATTTTAGAGAGTGACCAGTATTATCGGCACTAAAAAAATGAAAATTAAGTTTGAATTTATTAAACATAGATAATAATAATGCAACATTATAATTTACAAATTAATACTTTGATTAATAAATGATAATATTCAAATAATTATTAAATTAAATTTATATAATAAACATAAATGGATTGACGGATTGAAAATGAGTTGATAATTTTCATCAAACCTAACCTATTTAATTAAATAGGTTAGACATGTTGACCCATTTATTTTAAATGGGTTGAAATAGAGATGTCAACGGGGGTAAACGGGACGAGGAATGCATCTCCCGTCCCCTCCCCCGAAATTACACATATGTAAATATATGTGTAATTTGTTAACGGGGTCCCCATGGGGATTTCGGGACGGGATTGCCTACACCCGCCCTCACCCCCGAAATTACAACGGGGGGTTAACCTTGCCCCACCCCCGTCCCCACCCCCGAATTTTTTTAAAAAATCCCCCAAACGGGACGGGACCCCCCCGGAAACGGGTTCCCACGGGATTTTTTGACATCCCTATGTTGAAAATCTCAATCCAATTCGTTAATTTTAATTTGGGTTCGGGTTGAATTGATGGGTTGAATGGGTTTTGAGGGGATCTAGTATAGTCTAATCAAATGATGCAATTACCATGACATCATTCAGAACGTCGTTTACCCTTTCGGAATTTCATATACCCACAACGGTTTCTTCACGACACCGTGCCATAAACGTTTCTTCAAAAGATTACAAAAAAGAAAGACTTATTACATTCACAATTGCTAAATGCCATTTAACTTGGTGCTATATAAACTGAGACGTGATCTATACCCTCGTCTAATTATCACCATTTTACCAACAGATTTGAGTGCTGTGAGCAAGAAGAAAGAGATGATGGGGGATATGACTAATTTAGGGTCTCTAATGGCTGCCGTAATGTTCGTTTGGGCAATATTCGGGCAACTGTTTCCACAAAAGTTCCAAACCGATATCATGAAATACGTTAACAAAGTGGTTAGCTATGTGTACCCTTATGTCGAAATCACTTTTCATGAATACCAAGCAGACAGCTGGTTCGAGCGAAGCAAAGCCTTTGTTTCCATTGAACGTTACCTCAGCACCAACTCCTCCAACAGAGCCAAACGGCTCAAAGCAAACGTGGTCAAAGACTGTGAATCCGTCGTTCTGAGTATGGACGACTACGAAGAGGTCACAGACGAGTTCCAAGGCATCAAGATCTGGTGGACGTCGAGCAAAAGCATCCCAAAACAGCAGGCTCTCTTTTCCTATCGAGGCGAGGAGGAGAAGCGGTATTACAGGCTCACATGTAAAAGAGAGCACCGAGATATCATCACTAAAGTTTACTTGCAGCATGTGCTCGATGAAGGAAAGGCGATTGCAGTGAAAACAAGGCAACGAAAGCTCTATACTAACAACAAGAGTGAGAGTGAGAACTGGTCTGGTTACAGGAGGAATATGTGGAGCCACATCATATTCGAGCATCCTTCCACATTCGACACTCTTGCAATGGACCCGAAAAAGAAGAAAGAGATTTTAGATGATCTTATGATGTTCAGCAAGTCGAAAGACTACTACAAGAAGGTGGGAAAGTCATGGAAACGAGGATATCTTCTTTATGGTCCCCCAGGAACTGGAAAGTCTAGCATGATTGCTGCCATGGCTAACCTTCTGGAATACGACATCTATGATCTTGAATTAACCTCCGTGAAAGATAACACGGACTTGAGGAAGCTACTCATCGACACTTCAAGTAAGTCTATAATTGTGATTGAGGACATCGACTGTTCACTTGATTTAACTGGTCAGCGAAAGGAGAAAAAAGAAGAGACTAAAGAGGAGGAGAAGGATCCAGTTCGCAAGGCCGAGGAGGAAAAGGATAAGAAGAATAAGGGAAGCGAAGTGACTTTATCTGGGCTTCTGAACTTCATTGACGGGCTATGGTCGGCTTGTGGGAGTGAGAGACTGATCGTGTTCACAACAAACTTTGTTGAAAAGCTCGACCCTGCTCTGATTAGGAGAGGGAGGATGGATAAGCATATCGAGCTTTCCTATTGTTGTTTCGAAACGTTCAAGGTGCTTGTGAAGAACTATTTGGATCTTGAATCACACGACTTGTTTTTAACCATCAGTCGACTCTTGGAGGAGACCAAGATGACTCCAGCTGATGTTGCGGAGAATTTGATGCCAAAGTCATTTGAAGAGAATGCTGAGAGTTGCTTGAACAAGTTGATCCAATCTTTAGAGAATGCAAAAGAAGAAGCAAGGCTGAAAGCTGTGGAGGATGCCAGGATCAAAGCTGAGGAAGAAGCAGCTAAGAAGATTGAAGAAAATGGTGAGAAGGTACAAGAGACTGATGCAAAGAAGTCTGACCAGGATACTGAAATGGTACAAGTCGGCGATGGAAAAGAAAACGGTGTCTTGACTGAATAGTATAGTATGGCCCACCATAGCTGTCAGCTTTGTTAATTGCATCTCTGTATTGCTATATCCTTTTTCGCTTACAAGTAGTCAAATGAAATTAGTCAAAAGTCAAGTGTGGTCGGTGTTTGAAGATATGAATCAGATTTAAACTATTATACCTATTATATTAAGATTTCGTGTAATTTATTCTTATTTGTAATGTGCATGGCAGTCACTGCAATCCAAAATGATATTTTTCATTTTTATTTTTAAAATATTATATAAAATATTATTTTTCATCTTTCTATTTTTTTAAAATTTTCAATATGACCATTTTGATTTTGAATTTAAGAAAATATCACTCTCACCTCTATTATTTTATATAATTTTTGCTATATCTTCATAGTACATATAATCTGGTTTTTTTTTACAATTTCCGTTCGTTTATTTTAAAAATATATATATTTATTTTTATATATATGTCTGTATATATTTGCAGTGTTTAACTTCCGTTCATTAATTTAAAGAAAAAACAAAAATTACTTTTTTTATATACATGTAGTTATAAATTCGAGTTTGCGATCTTCGGCACAAAAAAAAAACTCATGTGCCGACAACTTCTATATATGTCGACAACATCGGTCATTGTACAACTTAAGTTATCCCACCAACATCATGTTATATGGTAGCCCAAATTTTTTGGCTGGATGTATCTATGTCGACGACTTGTCGTCGTCATAAACTAGGCGGTAACGAAAAGGGTTTGTGCAGTTTTCTGAAAACTTATGCCGACGACATGTGGTCGTTATTGGTTACAAAAATATAATTTCTATTATTTATAATTCATGTTGTAGAAAAAAAAACTAGACAAGTTTTCAAAAATGGTCTCTGTGGTATGGATTTTTTCTAGCTTTTGGTTCAAACCCCGACTTTTTGTATTGGTAGTTCTTTTGAGTTAGTTTCGTTGTGTATTTAGTCTCTCCAAATAATAAAATGCATGTTATGCTCTTCTTGTAGTTATTTCTCATTTTCTGAAAAAGATTTAATACTTATTAAATAAATTTTATAATTAAAAATAAAAGGGTTCACCTCTCTCTCTCTCTTTGTGTGTGTGTGTGTGTCTCTGTCGCTCTTCCTTTCTCTTAGAAACATGCAACAAAAATTGATGGATCTTTGATCTCTCTCTCTCTCTTTCTCTCTCTCTCTCTCTCTCTCTCTTAGAACCTACAACTAGGTATTACCAAAAGGGCCAAACCAGTCGGAATCGGACCGGACCCGGGAACCGGCTTCGGCAAAAATCAAGAACCGAATCGGCCCGGCAGTTCTGCCGGTTCCCGGTTCCTACCGATTCTTGTCGTGTCTTCAAATGTTGGAACCGGTCCTCGAAAAATAACATCATACGGTTCCGGTTTTTGTCGGTTCTATCGGTTCCGGTTATATCGGTTTCGGTTCCTACCGGTTCCCGGTTCAAAAAATCCACTAAAATAACATCCCAGTCCCAGCCCGACCAGTTCCATCGGGTTCAGGTTCCGGTGTCAATTCCGGTGCCGGTTCCGGTTCCGGTTCCGGTTCCGATACCGATTCCGGCCGGTTCCCTGGTCCATATGTCATCCCTACCTACAACTAAAATCGATGGAGCTTTCTAAGTCTTTCTTGTGCATCTGATTTCCCATTTAACACTCTAAAAACACACAGAGCAAATTTTTAATCAAGTCTTCTTCGGTCAAATCAAGAACCTCATGGAAAAATACAGATCCATTGTCATACACAGTAAGAACAATAAGACCATATGAGAATAGCATGATGCCAAGTTTGTCCAGGAGTACAGCGTCGAAGGATCCCACATTATCACCCTTCTTGATGAGCTCAATATGGGTGGTGATTTCCACAGTACCTTTGTTAATCGTGTTAGGAATGTTAAGAACCTAGAAGAAAGAGGTATGAGATGGATCGAGACTAGTGTTGTCGGGTGGAACAACCGTATCCATCGGAGCCACAAGTCTAACATGCATAGGAGCTTCGACCTTATACTTGGCAACTTCTTCACTGACTTCCTTCAAGTCTCCCTTTGTGAAGATTAGGCCAACACTCCCAACAAATAAAGGGATTAGATTTTGGGAAGCCTTGTTTCCAGTTTTCTTGATATACATCCTGGTTGAGTGCAATTTGATATAACCTCCGGTAAACCTCCTTTCATCTTTCTTCTTCTCCGTTACAAACTTAGAAGCCTCCATAATCGTGACTCCTAATTTCCTTTGGGATTTGGTTTCGAATCTTGGGAAAAACACGATTAAGGGAAGAGCGAGGGATATGGAAACCCGTTTTCTTGCAAGCTGGATTTATACTTCATATGTGAGGTGACGATTTCACTTCATGTCTTCGGACTACTAGCTATTGGGTCAGCACCACAGGTGGTGGTAGAATGGAGTGTTGTCTTCTCCGATTCCTCCTGTGATACTAGTTAGGAGTTTACCTCTTTATGTAGCATACAATTGACATAAACAACATAAAATACTAGTTAGGAGTTTACCACTTTATGTAGCTTGTAAAACTTGTTGTATTTGGCATTTAAGAACTTAGCACCGCAAGTGTGATGCCTGAAACGGTTCACAACACACCCTTGAACAATTGGATGACTTAAGAAAGGTTTTTAGGCACACAAATCGGCTATGCTTCTCCAAGAACACATTATGTAACCGATTTTAGCCATGGGGTCTAGTATATATATGTATGAATTCAAGAGTCAAGGATTAAACCATAATCCATACTCTTGGGTTATGGTCCATGTTTCATGTGGGCTAACTCTTCATGGAACTTACATAAACTTAGCCCATCATGGATCAATAGTCGAAACCATATATATATATATATATATATATATATATATATATATATATATATATATATATATATATATATATATCATTGATTTACATAAACAGTCCCCATTAATTTAATTAATCTCTTTTGATCACTAAATTAATTCCAAATTAATTCTTAATCAATACTAGTTAAATAATATGATTCCATATTAATATATTATAACTTATAATATATTAAGAAATCATAAAGAACCTCTTACTCAAATATCTATCCACAAATTGTCCTGGTGATATGCAACCCGAATGGACCATACTACTCTCAGGTAGAGTACATACCAATTATAGTTATGGGCTTAGACACGTAATCCAACAATCTCTCACTTGGATAAGTCTAATAACTATTATTGCGAGTACGACTCCAAAATCCCGACTAGCAATCGTAGCTCTTAAAAGTCATTGTCGAACTCTGACCTAGTCAATGACGCGTCCATTAGATAAGGGATCATATATTCCTCTATTCTAGATATCATATGGACATGAGACATGGATTATGATCATTCTCTCTATCCATCTATTGTTTCCCGATTTCTAATTTATGACGATCGACTAATTGAACAAATCAAATCAATCCAAGCTTGGCCAAGCAGTTAGAATTGTCATCACTAAATCATTGAGGGTCCACAGACATCGCTTTTATCCCTCTAAGGGTAAAAGGAACGGATAAACTTCGACTCATATGCTTGCTTGTAGTTACTCATTAAATCATACACACCAATATGTTTTATAACACCAAGTTACTGGTACGCTTACATATGTCAATGTGCAATCGACTTGTAAATTACAACTCAAATGTCCTGGTTTCAAGAATATAAGATATTATCGTCTCACAATCACTCGTGATAAAATCCATGAAGTGATTCAAATGAGTGTGAGTTTAATCCAATACTCGAATCTTATTCCAGGAGTACTCATGAACACTGTAGCAAACTTGTGCTATGTCTAAAACACCTAGATAATTTACAGTCAGATTCATGACAGTCTTGCCTCAAACCCACTTCCAATGTATGATCGACTGTGGATGGTTTGAATAACCTAGTTATTTAGGAAGTCAAAACATGAAAAGTGAATCACAGGAATAATCGAATCCAATATGGTCTCCGAACTTATGAATATAAATAAAATAGCTTTTATTTAATCACTATATTGCTTATACATTATTCATTGTATAATGTTTCGATTAATCAACTTAATACTTGAATTAAAACAATAGTTATCCCATTCTCCAAGCATTCACACTATGTTTGCCTATGGTCCTTTCTTTGTGAAATAGATCAATTGAACACATCTTCAATAAAACTCATTTCACAATTCCAAATCCTTACCGTAAATGTACGAATACCAAATTCTTGCCATTTACTGTAATCTGTTAGATTCTAAACTTATATGCAATGATCCTCTTGTAATTAATATACACAAAAGTCATAGAGACTTGGAAACAAACATTACTAAGTATTCCAATGAAGAGTAATTTCATGGAAACGAAGTCTCACATTCAACGTACATTCCTTTAAACATCCTTCTTGCATTAAGTTTTCTAATCTTGCACAAAATAACTTCCACTTATGGAAACGTTTCCATATTCCTATGTTGACTATCACTTCTGAACAAGAATCACCTCTTCCCAGAGTATGCCAACATGGTCCTTCCAAAATTTACACTCTACTTCCAACTGTCCATAAGCAACCAATCTTTGGTGAACCTTAGATTGTCCTTAATAGTTGTTTAACAACTTTAGTCATATCCAATTTTGGTCCATTATCCATTTTAATACCTTAGGCATTTGGAAAATTCAGAACACATAAACATTATAGCATATGCAATCGATCCTATACCCGAAGCATACAGGATACGATACATAATGTCTCACACAAAGACGTGATACTTTACTAGTCTCTTGCTATAATATTTCCATATACAAAATTTCCTTATGTTGAACCATTCCAACATAACATTTATATATATCCTTGACTAAATTTGATTAAAATCTCACAATCTAAGCTTTTAGATTTTAAATGAAGCATAATTTTCTCTCCCTTAATTATAGCAAAACTGCTTTTCAAACTATGCAACTTGCGAATTGAACTTTTGTTTTCTATAATTAACATTACTAACTTGCAACACTTACCATAATAATTACGTTCCCACTAGCATAATAATTATATTCTTATTAGCATAACACTTATGCTCCTACTAGCTTTGATATGTACCTACAAATCAACTGGACATCTAGAAATCAATACTTATTGACTTTCATTACCAAAGTTCACATTTTTTATACGAGATACTTCAATAAGACTTTATCTAGGCTTCTCAAACTCGTACACCTTTCCTTAGATATCTCAAATGTGTGTCTAAACAATTTTAGAACTTACAACAATAAGTCTCAAATGTATAGACCTTTGTCATTTCTCACAATTCAAACTATGAAGAGGGATGCCTTAATCATAATTGATTTGAGAATGCAAGTACCACAACTGCTATCTCCTTAGAATCTACTTAGTTAAAGCGTTTCCTCAAAATCATTTTCATGAAGCGGAGAGAAACCTTATGACACTTAGATTTATGGTGTCTGTGTTCCTCTCCATGTGAATTTGTCAAACCATAATCATAAGACAATGTATGTGACAAATCCAAACTCATATGGAATGAACTTGTTCAATCTTAAATTCCCTGCCACTTGGTAGCACAAGGGCCTACCATTTCTTCCAAGTTGTTAAGAAGCTCACTCATACTGATCAATGAAACTTTCATTAATCCAGGTACCTTGCCTTATGCATACAATTAAGAACTCATGGAACTAACATGCATAGTCAACTTTTACTAGAATGGGCACAAAAACAAGAGTATGTCAACATGATAGGTTGCAAACCTCAAGTCGTGTGCTAGTGATAAAAAATAGGTTTAATTCTTGATTAGTTCTTGAAACTTTTTCAAGAACTTTAAGACTCGTATTGCCCTCTATACATATATGATTCTCTTGTCATGAACCATTACTTGACAAAACAGATATTCAAGAGTTAGTGCGGATTCTTATCAAGATAAACACTTCACACAATTAGTCTTAGTTGGTCTCTGTCCTTACCAAGACATCACAACTTACCAATTTCAAATGTAGAAAAGCAAAAACATTTTACTCAACATTTGATGAGTGATTTAAACCTTCTTAAGATTATGTCACTTAAGACACAATCTTGGAGTACGACTCTAAGACTTGTTTTGGAATGAAGTATGACTCATCTTCTTGAATTAACCATTTCAACAATTCATGATTCCTCTTCTTAGCCATACAAATGCACTAAGATATCCTTAGAGAATCAGTTGTGATATGGTTTTCCATAATCATTAAGATGATCATAAAACACGATACTAAAGTACTCTCCTATCTTTTCAGATAGGAGAAACTTTTATCTTTCTACTTAATTTGATTCTTCTCATTCGTTCTGCCATACATTGAAAGTTTTCCAATGCTTCAGAATTATACTTAAACTTGTAAGTATCACCATATCTACTAACTTTTAGTAAATCGTGACGAATAATCTTATCAATCATTGTGGTGGACATGACCAACGCACAACCAAGTGTACCCAATCTCCTAGTCCTTCACTTGACTCACATATTCATGTGAATAAGTAATTAGTCTTAATTTCCCAAAGACAAACTTCTCATTCATCACTCAATACAAGTTGCATGATTCCAAGTTTCTATCTAATTGAAACTTGGGTGATGATAATATTTCTTTATTTGGTAAAATTTGACACTACCACAAATGAAAGAATCAAATCAATTTTCCAATATTGCTATCAATGGAAACATATAAGTAACAATTTTCACAAATGCCATATTAAGGAAACTTAGAATAAAATAAAATAAAATTTTCTTTATTTACAAAAATGCAGAAAACTTTTCCTTACAATGCAATTACAAGTGAAAACTATGTTGTTATCTATTCCTAAGAAATCTATCACAACTCTTAAGCAACAGCTCAAAATTCTGATCATCGAACCATGCAATCGAAATCCATATCTTCACGATCAGAATCAACTTACTCTTCATTTAAGTTTCCTTTCATTCCTTTGATCATACAAAACATCAAAATGTAATTACATTACATCATGTATTAAGAATCCATGAATAGGAACAAAATAGAGTTAGATAGTGGACTTCACCTGAAATAGAGTCAAACTTTTTGACTTTACAATCCTTATGATCTTTCAGGTAAATATGGCAGCTTCGCAACCAACGCCCATTCTCTTAGCAATAGAAACATATGGACTCTTTAGGAATGCTACACAGTACTATCTCAGACTTAGCCTTTCTCTTTACCATTTGGTCAATTGACTTGACCATGGCCG